AAGGAATTTCTGACCATTTGGCTTTAAGGAAGAAAGGGAGAGAGAAAAATAGAAAATAACTCTGAGGTTTCACGTTCTGATGGCCAGATGAGTGTTGATGTCTTAACATTTCATGCTCCAACTGTTACTTCCCTGTGACTCAATTATCCTAAGACTCTCTTGGCTGCTGACGGCAAGTAATTGGTTTAGTGATTATTTATAGCAAAAAATAAATAAATAAAAATAAAAACAGCATTGAAAGTCAATAAAGGCCAGAGTTCCTCCCAACAAGTCTAGCCTACGTAGATAGCCCTAGGCTGACCCTGTCCTCAAGCCCCTCGGGTGTGAAAATAACTGAGCAGTTATCTCTCAAGCTGGCAGACAAGAGGGCTTCTTTTTAGCATCAAAGTCCCTTAGAGGTATGTGCTGGTGAGTGCTGAAGAGGGGCTGATGAACACAGCCCACCCACAGTTTTAGCACATTTTGTTTTCACTCGAGACAGTACTGAAATCAAGTTTTCAAATTGTGAGGAAGAATGATTCTTGAGAATTCTGATTTTATCCACAAATACAACTGATCAAATTAAAATTTTATACAGTATCTAAAGTCCATAAGATGTTATGGAGTTTAGGTATGTAACAGAAAATGTATTTTAATAGTAATGTTACAGTATTATTCTATTGGATGGAAGATGAAAGTACATAAACAGAAAGTTAAAATGAGCACCAAAACAAACACAAGGCAAGATACTGCCTGGGAAATTTTCTTATTGCTTGCATTGCTCACTCACAAAATACATTTCTGTTCTTTTCTAAAAACTACCATCAGTATCTCTACTACACAATTCAGGAATGAGGAGAGCTGCCTATTTTACTTGTCATATAAGTTATATAAAGCTATTATCAGATTTATTTTTGAGTTATTAAAGTTTTAACTAAACTACATTTTCTCTTTAATAAGTTATTATTACCTATAAGTGACAAAATGGGGCAGGAACTATACATAAACAAGTTTATATTAGAGTGGGCGGATAGAAAAGGGTGATAATTAACCCTAAATTCTGTTTTCCATTTATATAAAAGCACCTTCGTTCACAGTCCATGCATTCCTTTTTCTTTAAAAACAAGTTTATAAGAACATGCTGGGGAGAAGACAGAAATGCACATTTGCCACGCTCTCATACCAGTATCCTGAAAGCAGAGATCGGTTTGTGCCCTCCTTTGCATCGCCTACTGTTCCTCCAGTGCCTAAAGCACCACCGTAGAGAAAGGGGGTGACCCTCAGTAAGCATCTTCAGCTTCACTCACAACAACACAACAATCAAGGTCTTTCCAAAGCACCCTTAGAAATGGCAGAGTCACCTCTTCTTACTTTAGTCAAATCAAACGCTGCCTCTGGAACGTGGTACTGATCCCACCACGATGGGTGCCTGCCTGGACCTGGTCCCTTGTGGACCAGGGAAGGGCTGCCCTCAGCCCCTTCCCACCCTTTCCTCCTTTGAAAGCAGCACAAAGGTGGCGATATTTTTGATGTGTTACCAAAACTGCCATTGCAACTATGTCTAAAACCATAACGGCAAAAATAAAGGAATGCTCAAACCTTCCGGGATAATGTATTTCAGGGTCTGTTTTCCCACCGAGCTAAGACCTTTATTTCTCTTGGAGAAATTTACTTCAACTTTCCAAATGTTTAGCGTTGCTGGATAATTTAAGGTAAAAATCACATGTCTAAATCTGGCTGAAGTGGTTTAGCTCTAATCCATGACACACACCAAACCAGATGAGCAATACACCAAGGGATGACTAAGTTATTCCTTCTGTTTCTTATAATTAACATCATCCCTAAACTCTAAGCTAGTTAATAACCGAAGTGTTTGCAGTTTCTCAACTATTATTCCTAAAAAGGTGAAAAGGTGTTTTTAGAGTGAATATATTATGCTACTATAATACTTACCTATTCTTATATAATATGCCTCAGCATAATTATAGTTTTGAATAATTAGAGTTTTATGTCAAAAGATTTATAGCTTTATCACCTCAAGCAATATTTCACAGCTGCCAAGAATGATTTATGCAATAATGACTTAAACTGTAAAAGAGAACCCTCAAAGGAAGAGCTGTCAAATAGTCCTTCTGCAAATAACTATGTTTTTAAAAATTGATATTCTGGTAAACAGCAAGTCCAATTGTACCCCAACAAAATCCCGTAAACTAGCAGGGTAGAGAGTGTTGCTTCCCAATGGTGATGACGCTGCTGACCCCGCACCGCCCCAGTATGAGCTCATTGCCTACATCACCGGGTTTAAACTGCTCTAAAGCCTCTGGCCACTCTGGAAAACAAGCTTTTGGAAATAATGCCACACTCATGTTTGGCTACTCAAACATGAGTGAATGAAAAGTGGAAACAGAATATCTTAACTTTCTGTTAATTCGCTCATTGCGCATATTACATCACTATTCATATTCCTGTGAAATGTTCAATGAAAAATAGGTAATGGAAGCATTTTCTGTATACTTAGACACCAAGAACCTCTCAAAAGTAAATGATCCCAGTAATGAGGAATTAAGAAACCTTTGAGAAACACACCAATGAAAATGTTGGTGACTTTGTCCATTCCTGCTTTTATAAACATAGAGTGTCTGATAGGTCTCTAAGAGGTAAGACTCTCAAAGCATTTGAACTTCACAAGCTCTGACTGATTTTGTAAATGCCATGTAACTAAAACCAATAAACTCTTAAGATTCTCTTCAAGGTGTATGAACTGGTAGCAAAAGCACAAGATGATTACATTCAGAGCCAATGAATCTGACTCAGTCTCTACAATCTAAAAAGGTCATTCAAATTAATCTTTTTCTTTGGAAAAGAAAACCACACAAAAAATGCTTGACCTCATGTTTATCATAGCAATGAAAGTAAAGGAGACAATATTGTCATTAACTCTAAAGATACCCAAGTCCTTGTAGACTGAGTCACATCTGAAAGTGAAGCCAACAGAATCAAAATCATCACCAAAGACTGATTATTTATTTACCTAAACAAGCTTCCAAATAAACATTCTTTCTCCAAAATAGGAAGGTGTTACTTGGTGTATAACCAAGTAAATCACTAAGATAAGAAAATCTGCATTAGTCAAATAGCAACATCTCCACTGCAGAAATTTTTACATTCAAGTTTGTGACAAATTGCTTTTTTTAAGGTGTTTTGAGATTATTTTACACATTCATATTATACAAGTTAAACTAGGTTTCAAAGCATCACTATTTCACTTAAGAATAAACAACTTCTATTTGAAAACACTATCTGAGAAACATAGTTAGTATCTAAGTAACCTGGACAGTCCAGATTAATTTTATACTGAAATTTTTTACGTTGAAAAAATTGTGAAATGCCCCAGAAAACATAATGACCAAATGTGAGCCACCATGACCTGTAGCAACCACAATATAGATTGTGTCAATATCATGATAAATATTCAGATTAAAAAAAAGTCAGACATTCAAATTACTCCAAAAGTCAAATTGTTGGCATCAGACACACACACACAAAGATGAGCTGCATTTGGGTAAAGCCTCAGTTCAAGAAATGTTTTCAAGACAACAGAGCAATTAGGCTATTTCTAGTATGCCAACATTACTGATTGAAAAGTGGGGGGAAAGTGAGAAGAACTTTGAAAACAATCTCTGTTTGATTGATAATCACATAATTATTTTTATTCCAGATTAATCCAACATTATACAAACCTGTTTTTCCAATCATACTTTGCTATGCACACCAACTCAAATTGATGTAAAACTCTAGTTATTAAGAATTGTACATGTTCTATCATGAAATATTGAATTATGAGAAAACAAGAGGAAGAATTAAACCTTTTCCCTGCTAGAATTTGTTCTCTGTATTTTACCAAATGACAAGCAATTAAATGACATAGGCTATAACACATCACTCATGTATTCATCTTCAAAACTTGACTTTGCTAAAAAGCTGACTAGATACCATACTGGCTTACTAATTTCTATCAATGAGATAAAAAACACATGATAATGCAATAGTAACAAAGCAAGCTATAATGTGCATTTTTAATCTATTAACCTTTATTCCTTAATTGTCAAATATAATTAAGTGTATACATTTGGAAATGTATATACTTTAAAATAAGTATATCTGAATATTTATTACATGCAAGTTTATATACATACTTATTGTGTATGTAATGAATGCATGTCCATTAAGTGTGTATTTCTTGAGAACTTTTATAGTTCTAAAATATTTATGGTCCCACAGCAAACCTGAAAGACAGATGAGTGCCCTTGAAGTTGAGGTATGACCTTAAGTTGAAGATGCCAGTTTTGCTGCAGCTGTAAAAATGAATACTAATAACTCCGCAGCATCATAGCACCCTTTTTCTATTTTGTTTTTTAGGACAAATCTTGAATATATGAACAGTCTTTATTATTTGAATATATATATATAGGTTTACCAGACCAATTTGAGAAGTTCCTATATATCATTCTTAATCTTGTGTAAAAAAGAGCAAATAAGAAAAGAGGTGTTGCCTATGCCTATCAAATAAAGCTGAAAAGCCTAGAAACATTTATAACATAATAGTTTCAGTTTCAGATAGAGTTTTCAACAAGACTTTGTAAAGTATTTTTAAGTTCAAGCAAATAAAACTGTATTTTTCTCCCACCAAATGCATATCAATGCAACCTGTAAATTATTGGCCCTTTATCTTTCCTTAGGAAGGTGAGAGAGTAAGACTGATTTGTGGCATTTTATCCTCAGAGACATTAAGTTACAGCACTTTTGAAGAGTACAGAGTACCCTTATTCAAGAAGAAATGGTTCTTACTAGGCCAAAAATGAGAGTATCCATATTTTTTGAATCCTAAAGTACTATAAGCAAAGCACATATCTATACTTGAATATTTGGGGTTTCTTTGCATATGAACTTTCAGTTATCAACTGTCAAAACTTCATTTCAATGGAATCAAATACAAGAAATCCTAAACAGGTAAACTTTACCATTTTTGTGATAGTAGGTGACCTCCACTTTCCTCTCCTCTGACCCCAGCAACGCCTGGGCAATTTGGGCAATATCATGTCTCTTGGTCTCGGGCCCATGGAGAAAGTCGCAGGTGCAGGGTTTTTGCATGACATCTGGCCTGGAGAAACCAGTCATTTCGCAGAACCCATCATTGCAGTAGATGATGGCACAGTTCTGCACTCTGGCATTTGCAATGATAAATTTTTTATCTGTAATAAGAAGACAGTAAGGTATCTTTTACAAGCCTTATACAATATTTTCATTAACACTGGAACAATTTGTTGCATAATAGGAGATCTGAAATGCAGGTATTTCCCAAATGGCTAACTGTCCAGGCTTTTAAAAGGGAGAGAAAAAAACCCAACCTTAAATGTGAAATATTGGTCATAAGTAGTTTAACAAAAAAGTATTTAGGAACTACTCTTTCAAATTCTGAGAATGTAATTTCCTGAATAACCTAGTTCTCAAGCCCTCTAACTCCCTGGGGTTCTAATGCACATGCAGACAATAAGCTGCCCCATTGATATTTCCAGAATATCATCTAAATACAAGGTAAATATTTTCAAAGCCAAAACAGTGAAACATCCTGTAGCTGTCAAATTTTCTCACTTCCACCTTGGCCTTGAGAGTACAACTTTCTCAAAGTAGTTATTATCCTTGGATTTGTCTTTTCTCTGTCCCTCTAAGGCATACAGCACGCATCGTGTTAAAAAAAATAAAACTCTTAACAATGAAAGTATTTCACGTTAATTAGCAGCTCAGTAATGCAAATGTTTAACTTTTCATAATATATTTTCCAGAAGATAAACGTATTTACACACAGATCCATATACACAGTAAATACCATGTTAACACCTTTTTGCTTCTACTTGGGAGAAACCTGAATTTTTGTGTTGTAGCAGGTATTTTAACTTAAAAGGGTTTATTAAATTTTAATCACAGATTATATCTACCATTACCAGATAGAGTATGAAGCAGGATATATAATTTTATTTTAGACACAAGGTGCTATATACTCATGTCACTTAAGACAGTTCCAAAATAACTGCAAAATGTACACATAAATGTGTGTCAATGTGTTTTCAAGAAAATGTCAAATATCAATGCACAAGTATAAGATTTAAAGTTAACATATTTATATAACATTCATTCCTTATAGCTAATCCACATGAGACTATTGAATTTCTCTGCCTTTCGTCTTTGTGGGATTTACTTAGTGCACTTCAATTTTTAAATATCTAGATGGAAACTGAAGGGGATCATTAAAGTCAGAAATATTCCTTTGAATAATGAACTATTTACATTGGGAACCAGCACGTACCAAATGATGCTTTTTCCAAATTACCCGGCATGGGATAGATTTACATGGATTCAATGCAAAGTTTAGCTGCTTCTATAAACTAGCAGCCAGCAAGCATCCCCCCCATCACGCCCCAGCCTTGCAAGTGAACCAAGGTGAGATAGTTTGCATAGCCACTTCCATCGCTTCTACCATTTACACCCCGTAGCTCCAACGGCATTCTCTGCCCTGCTCCCGACTTTCCAAAAGTCTGCAATAACACAGCCTCAAAACGCAAACCCAGGTTATGTGAGTACTTTCCCTTTAAGGTAGTAGAAGAGCAGGGCGCTAAGTAGCGAGGCAGCCGACGGAGCAGTGGGCGCGGAGGGTCACACAGCCTCCCGCAATGGAGACCGTAATCTAAAATGTAAATCGAAATTCATATCGGAGGGGCTGCACCGCCGCCGCTCGCGCCGCCCGGCTCGGGTTCGCAGCCCCGTAACTTGCGGGAGCCGGAGTTGCCGTCTCCGCCTGCCAGCCGCGGGCGCCGAGCGCGCGGTCGGAGCAGAAAGCGAGGGACGGAGGAGAACAAATGAACTTACTTTGCCCTTCAAATTTCCGTATGATGGTCCCCAGAAATGTGTTTTGCGGCGCCACGTGCCCCCTGCGGACAGGCATGTTGACCCGGCGCGCCGAGCAGCGCGCCGCGAGCTCTGGAGTTCTCCGGGGTCGCCGCCGCTAGAGCCCAGGCCCGCGCGCCCGCCGCGCTCGGCGGCGCAGCATCCTCTCTGGAAGCCAGGAATCCCTTCCCATTAGCGCCGCTT